TCGTATTAGCAAGACAAGGCTGCACAGATTAAAACATTTTTAATCTCGATTTGCATAAATTTTAATGTGAAGAAATCTGTTTCTATAATCTACATGTTTAGTATTTAACACATTTTTTCCTCTTAAGGCCAAATTTTGATGAAGTAGGGGAGAGAATGTGGTATTACATAATATGTATCCAGAGTGTGATTTCTACAACATCCTAAAAGGAAGAATGCATCTCCTTAGGGTACCCTGCGGCGGGATGTGTGGACCTGAAGGGGCACTATGCAATTTTTTACAATTTCAAGGAAAACACAGCAATAATTGGCGGATATTACACTCACTTCTACTTTTAAGCTGTCTGGACCTGACTACTTCATGCAACGGACAGTTAGGCATTCCTTTGGACTTAACAGGCACCAAGGAAAAAAGTACCAAAGATCCTCGGGCATTGTGTGTTATGAACCAACAGTTTGTGAACCCTCTGTCTTAAGCATTTCTTTAAAAGTTTTGCTGTGCTTTGACAGGGAAACTGGAGGTTAGATTAACCCAGGGAATGATTTCCAATATCTGATAACTCCTCTATCCTCCGACTCAGTAGTATTTGAGAAAGTACAAAGCCGGCTAATAACAGGTGTACTATTTTAGAGAAGGAAAAAAAAAAGAACATTTATTTTTTACCAACAAGAGCCCCCAGAGGATGCTTCCACAGAGGTCACCCTGAGACTATTCAGCCTGGGAGAAAAGCCATCTGGCTTATTTATATTTGATAGGAAGTGAAAGGCAACATGTTATTATGTCAGCGTGGATTCCAATAAAGTCATGGACAAAAGAGAAGCACACATTATTACACGCTACAAGAATCTTAATATAGCGACGGAGAACAGGGAAAATGACAGAACTAGATCATTCCAACCCCCACTCAGGGTCTCCGTGTGAAGCTTTGATATATTTAGATTATTTAAAGGCTTCAAAACAGCCTTCAAACATGCGGAGCCCTGCTAAGAAGAAAGATGTTCTCCAACCCTGGAAATCCAGATTATGGTCTCCACCTAAAGAAAGCAGTGCTCCTTGAAGAAATGGCTAATTCCAGATCTGGAATTAGAAAATGGACAAGATGAGCCTGGAGCATCCTGTCAACCAGACAGCAAGGAAGCCATGGTTCTGGCAGAAGACCAGGGGGCCAACCTGAAGAGGTTCCCATTGGCCAAAGATGGCACAGCTTGGGCATCAGTAAGGATGTTAACTATAATGGGCTAGCTTTTTAGATAAAGCTTTTATTTTTTCCCTTTGAAAGTCTCAAAAGGTTATGGAATAATAGATTAAAATTTTCTTTAGGCTTACTGATAAAATTGGGGATGATCAAGATATTTTACTTTTCAATTGGTCACCGCCAGCTCTTCTTGTAATTGGCCTCTTTTCATGAGTTCATTTGTTACTTAAAAACAAACAACCAAAAACACCTTCAATGGTCACCACTAGAGAATGACAGACCAACTCATCATTTTGACAACTGATAAATAGCAAAACCAAATCTATTTATCCAGATCACAAGTACCACTGAGTAAGCAAATCACATACAAGGCTAAATTTCTCTTTATAGAAATACTGCAGCTAATAAGTGAGCAAGGCATCACAGCAGGTCATCATATTGCAACCCTGAATGAATCACTGCATCCAGGTGTTAGATATTAACTGTTGTTGATATTCCAAAAAGGCAAAATCAGCCAGACATTATCTGCCTCCTCCTGATGGAAGAACAAATGATCAATTATAAAGTAATATTGCAAAAAAAAAAGGGGGAGGGGTGGATACGAATATGGGAAATCTCTAGATCTACTGGGAATACAGAGGACTACATTACAGGCATGCAGTCAGACAGATCTACTCTGCAGGACAAAGTAGTTTCTTTAACAAAAAATTAGAATCTTAAAATACAGATTGATCCATGGTTCCTGTTTCAAATAAACCACTAGAAAAATATTTATGACAACTGGAGATCTGAGCACTTACTGGATATCTCATGATATTAAGGAATTATTATGTTAGGTATAATAAGGACTCTTTAAAAAATACACACAATAACATTATATTTTTTAAAAAAATCTTTAAAAATACTGTCAGAAAAGCTGAGACTCAGGTAATAATATTACTCTACATTTTGGAGTAAATGATCAACACAGCCCAATGCAATATGTTGGGAGAGAATAAATCTCACTTTCCCGGGAATACCCTTATTTAAAAAACAAACAAACAAACACACACACACACACACACACACATAGAAAAAGAAAGGTTCACTAGGAACTTTGAAAAAGTAGAAACATTATCAGTAACTCCGTCTCCTGTCTTAAAAATGGCAAGTTGGTATAGCACGATGGAGAAGATAATGACCAATAACCCCTACCAAACAATTTGCCAACACCTTTTTTTTTTTTTTTAAAAAAAAGATTTATTTATTTATTAGAGACACACACAGAGAGAGACAGAGACACGGGCAGAGGAAGAAGCAGGCTCCATGCAGGGAGCCTGACATGGGACTCGATCCTGGGTCCTGAGCCAAAGGCAGATGTTCAACCGCTGAGCCACCCAGGCGCCCTTTGCCAGCACCTTTGTCAACACATCAGGAAACCATCACAACTGGCACCAGTCCACAGTTCTGAATCCTAGTTACTCCAAACTACTGCCAAACTGGAAGCTTTTTTTTGAAGAAAGAGGTCTATTATTAGAAGAGCTGGGGATGTTCAGTTGAAAAGTACAACTATTCTGACTTTATGTTAATCTAAATAAAACCGACCTGCTCTCCCATGTCTAATTTTGAATCTTTCAAAGGGGGAATAAAACCTTCCTTTAAGAGGCAAGCTGGATGCACTTCAGGGACTTACCCCAATTTCTACAAATTTCAGAGTATCCTTGGATTTGAAGGTATATCTATACAAAATGTACCTTTTCTGCACTTCCACCTTGCTTCTATTAAAAATACACAGAACCTTTCATAAAGCACTGAAAAAACAACCATCGACAGTGTATTAACACAAATGCGTGCAACATGGGCATTATTTTCTCTGAGATACTTCTCAAGGTTCTGTAAGTCCTACACATCGTGATATTTAGGATGACATTCTGTGGCATCTTACTTGTTTAGCAATTTTATTAGTTCCTCAAACTCAAAAATCTCAAAATTGTTTAGATTTTTCATTAGATCAGAAGGACAATAAATGTATTCTGAGATTTCTTTTTTTTTCTTTTAATTTTTTATTTATTTATGACAGCCACAGAGAGAGAGAGAGAGGCAGAGACACAGGCAGAGGGAGAAGCAGGCTCCATGCACCGGGAGCCTGACGTGGGATTCGATCCCGGGTCTCCAGGATCGCGCCCCGGGCCAAAGACAGGCGCCAAACCACTGCACCACCCAGGGATCCATATTCTGAGATTTCTTATTTAAGAAAAGGCAGAAAGAAACTTATAGGTTACAAAATACCCAGAAACTCAAAGAGAAGGAGAAAATTCTTTAAGCCATTAATTTTATCAAAATTACGATCATTACACACAGCTATTTCTTTAAAGAGACTTACTGACCTGAGAGAAATTCGTTAAAGGGTTGAAGAGAACATGTGTTTACTGTAATCAGGGCATAGGATCCTGCAGACCACCCTCCCCCACCACCAAAGGGCCTCCTCAGCATCTGGTATGCTGGGTTTTGTGCATCTAATCATGGCAGAGCCTCTTCTTAAACCACTGCTCACACATATGTGAGTCAACTCAACAAATGTTTGGTAAGCACTAAGGAGAACTATTTGTGTACAAATGCCTTCTCTCAGAAATTCCACATAGTTCTCAGTATATCAGCTGGTACCTATATATTTAATATAAGGTATGAAATTGATTTGTTCCCATTTTATACACAGGGAAGTCAAGCCAGGAACAGATTAAATTATTTTAAATTATTTCAGTAAGGTCACAGAGTAAGTCACCACAATTTAAAAAACAAAACAAAATATAAGACTCTTATTTTAGTTTGGGTTTAACATGTCCTTTGTATTTACCATTCCGTGTGTCCTGTCTATTCTATCCCCTCCAGTCCTATCCATTATGACCCATCCCACATTATTTGTGTCATCCATCACCAACCTTTGTATTAACCACTCCTTGACCACTTACTTGTTCTGAGCATTGTGTCACACACTGTGCTGAATATAAAGACGATGGAGACATGGAGAAGTTAATGCCTAGAGGACTTACATTTTTCCTATGAGCCAGGCAGTTTGAGATAATTTACCTAAAGGACAAATGTTTTTGAGAGCTCTTCCAGTAATGACATGCTTTCCATAATCATATTAAATAGGCATAAAAATTTTAAGGATGAACAACTAGGAGCAGAACAAGACTTAAAAACAGCAATCTCTGTCATTCTTATTTCTCTAGCTATATAATATCATTTCTAGGTTTCAATTCACATATCAAGTGAGATAGTAGTTATACTAAGCAGAATTGACACCTAGAATTTTATACCATGGTTTCATAATTCGAGTTTAAGATATATGAATATGGGGAAGGTACATATATATTATCCATCTGTAATTTTTAAAAATAAATTTGTCCTTTATTTTATTTTTTTAGATTTTTATTTATTTATTCATGAGACATACAGAGAGACAGGCAGAGGGAGAAGCAGGCTCCATGCAGGGAGCCCGACGTGGGACTTGATCCCAGGTCTCCAGGATCAGGCCCTGGACTGAAGGCAGCGCTAAACCGCTGAGCCACTCGGGCTGCCCACTATCTGTAGTATTTTTAAAAACAAGCCAGAGCTTATTTAAATACATTTAAATAAATGAGTTATATAGCATTTAATATCCTATGAAGAAAATAAATTTCATCCAACTACAAATCTTTTGATGACTAAGCAGCTCATAAGGCTATTTAAACAATGGTAAAAATATAGTAAACACCAGAAACATCTAGAAGCTGTCTTACAGTAGATGTGTGGAGATCTCCACTTTAAATGACTTCACACCTACCGTAGTGTCATTGCTGGTAACATAAACCAGGACATCAGAGGAGTTCCTGCCATTGATGTATCGGTAGCAATTCCAAACACAGCTAATCAAGTAACCCTGTAAGTGAGTAGTGATTATTAGATCTTTAACTTCCAAACATCAGACAATTTTAAGTACCCCCCACCAAGAAAACCATATTACAAAACTATTATTTACTAACTTGTAAGTGCACATAGTAACCCTACTAAGTTAAAAGGTCTTTTAAATTACAAATGTTGTGTATAGTAACTTTCTGGCAAAGGGTAATGCTGTCGCTTATTCTATAACACCACCCTGGAAGGAGGTGGTAGAAGGGTCAGGGGAGAGCAGAACTTCTGAGACAAGATAGTTGGAAGGAGCAATCACACACAAACATTTATTGCTGCCAACGTCACACATCAATCAATTTATTAGCCCACTGCACATCACATTTTAACTCTGACTTTGGGAATTTTATTCTGTATGATTATATATGATTAAACAAGTCATATTATATTCAAGGTAATTTAAAAAAACGTTCACAGCAAATAAATTGGTTTCATGGTAAATAAAATTCACTAAGACATTTCTATCTTCGTTTTTTTTTTAATTTTTATTTATCTATGATAGTCACACACACAGAGAGAGAGAGGCAGAGACATAGGCAGAGGGAGAAACAGGCTCCATGCACCGGGAGCCCGACGTGGGACTCGATCCCGGGTCTCCAGGATTGCGCCCTGGGCCAAAGGCAGGCGCCAAACCGCTGCGCCACCCAGGGATCCCGACATCTCTATCTTTGTAATGAAATACCTAAATAAGATAATTAAAATTAATGTCCAGAATAAAGACATGCCAAGAATAAAGCCTGAGTTCGTGGGAGATGTGTAGCTTTTTTTTTTTAAGATTTTATTTATTTATTCATGATAGACACACACAGAGAGAGAGAGGCAGAGACATAGGCAGAGGGAGAAGCAGGCTCCATGCAGGGAGCCCGACGTGGGACTCGATCCTGGGCCCCCAGGATCATGCCCCGGGCCGAAAGCCGGTGCTTAAACGCCTGAGCCACCTGGCTGCCCTGAGATGTGTAGCTCTTGAGCCGCCTGCACTACCACTCCAGTTACCTGGGACTGAATTAGAATTAGAGGACTTCAAAATCCCTTTCCAGACAAACATTATATGGTCTCATTCATTTGGGGAATATAAAAATTAGTGAAAGGGAATAAAGGGAAAGGAGAGAAAATGAGTGAAAATATCAGTGAGAGTGACAAAACATGAGATACACCTAACTCTGGGAAATGAACAAGGGGTAGTGGAAGGGGAACTGGGTGGGGGGTTGGGGTGACTGGGTGATGGGCAATGAGGGGGGCACTTGGCGAGATGAGCACGGGGTGTTATGCTATATGTTGGCATATTGAACTCCAATAAAAAAAAAACAAAATCCCTTTCCAGCTTTACAATTTTTTTTTACATTTTTAAATGTAAATTCAATTTGCCAACATATAGTATAACACCCAGTACTCATCCCATCCCTCCTCAGTGGCGGTCACCCAGTTACTCCATCCCCCACCCACCAACCCTTCTGCAACCCTTTGCTTGTTTCCCAGAGTTAGGAGTCTCTCATGGTTTGTCACCCTCTCTAATTTTAACCACTCAGTTCCCCTCCTTTCCCTTATAATACCTTTCACTATTTCTTGTATTCCCCGTATGAGTGAAACCATATGATGGTCCTCCGAATGACTTACTTCACTCAGAGTGAAATTCCATCCACGTCGAAGCAAATGGTGGGTATTCGTCCTTTCCGATGGCTGAGTAATATTCCATTGTATATATAGACCACATTTTCTTTATCCATTCATCTGTTGATGTTCCTTCCACAGTTTGTCTGTTGTGGACATTGCTGCTATGAACACTGGGGTGCAGGTGTCTCAGTCTTTCACTACATCTGTATCTTTGGGGTAAATCCTCAGCAGTGCAATTGCTGGGTTGTAGGGTAGCTCTATTTTTAACTCTTTGAGGAATCTCCACACAGTTTTCCAGAGTGGCAGCACCAGTTTGCATTCCCACCAACAGTGCAAGACCATTCCCCTTTCTCCATATCCTCACCAGTATTTGTTGTTTCCTCTCTTGTTAATTTTCATAATTCTCACTGGTGTGAGGTGGTATCTCATTGTGGTTTTGATTTGTATTTCCCTGATGGCAAGTGATGCAGAGCATTTTCTCATGTGCATGTTGGCCATGTCTATGTCTTCTTTGGAGAAAATTCCATGCATGACTTCTGCCCATTTCATGATTAGATTGTTTCTTGGGTGTTGAGTTTAATAAGTTCTTGGATACTAGCTCTTGATCTTAAACATCATTTGCAAATATCTTCTCCCATTCTGTAAGTTTTCAGATTTGTTGACTGTTTCTTTAGATGTGCAGAAGCTTTTTAGCTTGAGTAAGTCCCAATGGTTCATTTTTGTTTTTGTTTCCCTTGCCTTCATAGATGTATCTTGCAAGAAGTTGCTGTGGCCAAGTTCAAAAAGAGTGTTGCCTGTGTTCTCCTCTAGGATTTTGATGGAATCTTGTCTCACATTTAGATCTTTCAACCATTTTGAGTTTATCTCTGTGTATGGTGAAAGAAAATGGTCCAGTTTCATTCTCCTGCATGTGGCTGTCCAATTTTCCCAGCACCATTTATTGACAAGACTGTCCTTCTGCCGAAAGTGGATAGTCTTTCCTGCTTTGTCGAGTATTAGTTGACCATAAGTTGAGGGCCCATTTCTGGGTTCTCTATTCTGTTCCATTGATCTATGTGTCTGTTCTTGTGCCAGTGCCACACTGTCTTGATGATCACAGTTTTGAAATACAGCTTGAAATCCGGCCTTGTGATGCCCCCAGCATTGGTTTTCTTTTTCAATATTCCTTTGGCTAGTCAGGCTCTTTTCTGATTCCATACAAATCTTAAGATGATTTGTTCCAACTCTGTCAAGAAAGTCTATGGTATTTTGACAGGGATTGCACTGAATGTGTAAAAATAGACATTTTCATAGTATTTATTCTTCCAATTCATGGTCATGGAATGTTTTTTCATCTCATTACATCTTCCAAAAAATTCTTTCAGAAGTGCTCTGGCGTTTTTAGGGGATAGATCCTTTATCTCTTTGGTTAGGTTTATTCCTAGGTACCTTATGCTTCTGATTGCAACTGTAAATGGGATTGACTCCTTAATTTCTATTTCTTCAGTCTCATTATTAGTGTATAGAAACGCTACTGATTTCTGGGCATTGATTTTGTATCCTGCCACACTGCCAAATTGCTGTATGAGTTCCAGCAATCGTGGGGTGGAGTCTTTTGGGTTTTCTGTATACAGCATCATGTCATCTGCAAAGAGGGAGACTTTGACTTCTTCTCTGCCAATCTGAATGCCTCTTATTTCTTTTTGTTGTCTGATTGTTGAGGCTGGGACTTCTAGTACTATGTTGAATAGCAGTGGTGAGAGTGGACATCCCTGTCTTGTTCCTGATCTTAGGGGAAAGGCTCCCAGTGTTTCCCCATTGAGAATGATATTCACTGTGGGCTTTTCATAGATGCCTTTTCATATATTGAGGAATGTTCCCTCTATCCTTACACTTTGAAAAGTTTTAATCAGTAACGGATGCTGTATTTTGTCAAATGCTTTCTCTGCATCTATTGGGAGGATCATATGGTTCTTGTTTTTTCTCTTATTGATGTGATCTATCACGTTGATTGTTTTACAAGTGTTGAACAACCCTTGTAACCCGGGGATAAATTCTGCTTGGGTCATGGTGAATAATCTTCTTAATGTACTGTTGGATCCTATTGGCTAGTATCTTGTTGAGAATTTTTAAATCTGTTCATCCGGGATATTGGTCTATAATTCTCCTTTGTGGTGAGGTCTTTTTCTGGTTTTGGAATTAATGTGATGCTGGCCTCATAAAACGAGTTTGGAAATATTCCGTCCCTTTTTATCCTTTGGAACAGCTTTAATAGAATAGGGTGGTTTTTTTTGTTGTTGTTGTTTTAATAGGTATTATTTCTTCTTTAAATGTTTGATAGAATTCCCTTGGGAAGCCACCTGGCTCTGGACTTTTGAGTGTTGGGAGGTTTTGGATGATTGCTTCAATTTCCTGGCTGGTTATTGGCCTGTTCAGGTTTTCTATTCCTTCCTGTTCCAGTTTTGGTAACCTGTGGGTTTCCAGAAATGCAGCCATTTCTTCTATATTGCCTAATTTACTGGTGTATAGCTGCTCATAAGTTTTTAAAATCATTGTATTTCCTTGGTATTGTTTGTGATCCTCTTTTGTTCATGATTGAGTCTTTTCTTCTTTCTTTTAAATAAGGCTGGTAGGGGTTTATCTATCTTATTAATTCTTTCAAAGAACTAGCTCCTGGTTTTGTTGATCTGTTCTACAGTTCTGTTGGTCTCTATTTCATTGAGTTTTGCTCTAATCTTATTAACTCTCTTCTGCTTGTTGTCGGTTTTACTTGCTGTTCTTTCTCCAAGTCCTTTAGGTGCAAGGTTATCTTGTGTATTTGAGTTTTTTTCCAATTTTTTGAGGGAGGCTTGTATCGCAATGTATTTCCCTCTTAGGACTGCTTTTGCTCTATTCCAAAGATTTTGAAACGGTTGTATCTTCATTTTCATTGATTTCCATGAATCTTTTTAATTCTTCTTTAATTTTCCAGTAGACACATTCATCTTTTAGTAGGATGCTCTTTAACCTCCATGTGTTTGAGTTTCTTTCAAATTTCTTGTGATTGAGTTCTAGTTTCAAAGCAATGTGATCCGAAAATATGCTGGGGACAATCCCAATCAGTTGAGACCTGATTTGTGACCCAGTATGTGGTCTATTCTGGAGAAGTTCCATGTGTACTTGAGAAGAATGTGTATTCAGTTGCATTTGGATGGAATGTTCTGTATATATCTGTGAAATTTATTTGGTCCAGTGTATCATTCAAGGTCTTTGTTTCTTTGGTGATGTTCTGCTTAGAATACCTGTCATTTACTAAGAGTGCCTTGTTGAAGTTTACTATTAGTGTATTATTATTATTTAAGTACCTCTTTACTTTGGTTATCAATTGATTGATATACTAGG